GGGCACACTAATCCATTGCTGGTGGAAGTGCAGATTTGTACAGCCACTATGGAAATCAGTGTGGCAGTTCCTCAAGAAGCTAAAGATCCAGCTATATCATTCTTGGGCATATAGCAAAGGACTCTATCCTATTGCAGTAGCATTTGCTCAGGGATGTTCATGGCTGCTCTATTCCTAATAGCTAGAAAATATAAACAGCCTATATGTCCATCAACAGATGAATGTATCAGGAAAATGTGCTATGTTTACACAGTGGAATGTTACTATCAACCAAACTCATAGAATTTGCAGGTAAGTGGATAAAACTAGGAAAAAAATCCTGAATGAGATAACCCAGACTCAGAATGGCAAATATATGTCTCTCATATGCAGGTATTATCTTTTAAGTCTTCAGTAAGCATGGTGGTATCTGAATACTGAAGTTAGTTATAGGGTAAGAAACAATGCAAGGAGGGAATGCTCTCCTAAGGAAAGGGAAAAGGAATGCATAGAGAAATGGGTCAGGAGGAATGTGGTGGTTTGAAAGAAAATGGCCCCAATAGGCCCATAGGGAGTGGCACTATTAGCAAATGCAGCCTTGGAGTAGGCACGGCCTTGTTGGAGAAGGTATGGCTTGTTGAAGGAGGTGTGTCACTAGGGAGTGGACTCTGAGGTCTCTGAAGCTCAAGTCGGTTCATGTTCTGCTACCTGTGGATCAAGATATAGAACTCTCAGCTCCTTCCACAGCACATCTGCCTGAGTGCCACTGTTTCCCACCATGATGAAAATGGACTAAACCTCTGAACTATGAGCCAGCCCCAGTAAAATGTTTTCCTTTATAAGAGTTGTGGTGGTTGTGGTGTCTCTTCACAGCAACAGCAACACTAATTAAGACCAGGATTAAATCGGAGAGGGGAATGTAAGTGAGGTAATGTGGGGAAAGACAGCTAACACTAAGCATTTGAGGGGTCCTATGGAAACCTATTACAGTAGATGTTTCTTAAAATACATATATGAAATAAATCTAAATGGAATCGCCAAATAATGTAAGATATAAAGCCCCAACTACACATCTCTTGCCACCAAATGAAACCTCCAGTCCCTGAAATGGGTTATATTTTTCTAAGTTGTCAGTCCAAGGGCCCCAATGGAAGCCCCCAAACAACTTCAGCTATTGACAAGGCTATTGATTGCTCTCCACAAGCTGGATGGTGAGGCCCTATTGCTGAAGACAACACCTAAATGTCTCAGTGAAGTTGAGCTGGTGCCAATGTAGAGCCTTCAGCCCCACTGACTGGTGTTCATGATACTAGAAGGTACTCTGCATGCTACCAGAAGAGAATAGTAAACAACAACCCAGCTATAAACCCTTCAACCTACAATAGTGACCTGCCCACATGATATCCTGGTGCAATCATGGCACATGTGTTGTGAGAGTAAACAACCACTCATTGTATTTAAGACCCAGTGAATGAGATGGGCTCCATACCTGACACTCAAAGGTATTTTTGGAAAAGTGTTTTTTGTTGTTGGTTTGTTTGCTTTTGTTTGTTTTGTGTCTGGGCCTTTTTTTAAACTGGTTTTTTGATTGTGTATTATGGTTTCCAAATTTGAGTTTTAATTGTGTGTATGTATGTGAGTTTCTCAAGCTCTTTTTAGTGTCTTTTTGTTTGTGGGTTCATTATTTTTTAACTTTGTATATCTATGTATTGGTCTGTTTTCTAAAGAGAGAGAAAGAAGGCATGCATTGGAAGGGAAGGGAGGATCTAGAAGAGGGAGGGGAAACTGATCAGAAACACATGAAAATACTTTCTGACAAAATAAAAAAATACACACAAAATCAGGCTCCTTACAAAGACAACACCTGAACATACTGAGAAAGAAATCAGGGAAACTATCTCAGCAGAAATAAACAACTCTTGCTTATATATCAGCAGAATTAATATTGTTTAAATGGCCACCTTACCAAAAGCAACCTATAGATTTAATGCAATCTCCTATAATTCTTCACAGAAACTGAAAAAGATCTTAAATTTTAAATTTACACACACACACACACACACACACACACACACACACACACACACATACACACACACACACACGGGTGCACACTAAAGAAAGAAAATAACAAGAAACATAAATAAATAAAAACTTCTGGTGATAACCATTCCAGATTTCAAGTTGTATTACACACATACAGTGATTAAAAACAGCATGGTACTGGTATAAAATCAGACATGTTGATTAGTGGAATCTACTGAAGATCCAGACATACATCCAAACACCTAAACACCTGAGTTTTGACAAAGAAGTATATAAAAAAAAAATGAAAAGAAAGAAAGGAAGGAAGGAAGGAAGGAAGGAAGGAAGGAAGAAGGAAAGAAAGAAATAAATAGTGGAGAAAAGACAGCAAATAGTGCTGGTCAAACTAGAGAACTGCATTGAGAAGAATTATCTACCATCCCACACAAAACTCAACTCCAAATGGGCCAATGATCTCAACATAAGACCAGATACCCTGAATCTGATAAAAGAGAAAATGAGGAATAGGCTTGAAATCATGGGCACATTCCTGTTTACAGTAGCCTCAGAAAGAGATCATGGGCCCATCCCCATTTGCAATAGCCTCAATGACAAAAGATCTCTACAATGATAAAAGACCTCTACAATGAATACTTTCAAATCTCTGAAGAAAGATACTTAGGAAGATAGAAAACAGAAAGATCTCCCATGTTCATGTGTCTCTATAATTAATATTGTGAACATGACCATCTTCCAAAGGCAGCTACAGATTCAATGGAGATCTCAATCAAATTACCCCCAAAATTCAACATTACTCGATAATTAAAAAAACAACCAAAAATTAAATATATGAAAAACATGGACCTCAAAAAGAAAAAGCCAGAGCCTCAATCACACTGAATAGGACAACCGTGATGTTTTCTAGAACTATGGTATGAGGAGACCGCCTACTCCACCATTTTTATTCAACACATATTTGAAGTCTTGGAATAAGGCAAGAGACACATTAAAAGCTTCCAACAGGAAAAAAAAAAAAAAACATGATTAGACATGGAAGAGAAGCAAAAAGTGCTTGACCAAAAAAAAAAAAAAAAATATGCAAATACAAAAATTCAGTACTTTTTGGCATGTTTAAATTTTTGTGATGCATATATTCGTTGTACATATTGCTAAGTTACATAGGACATTTTCACAAACGTATTTATTGTACAGTGAACATATTCCCCCTCCATATCCACCTACCTTCCCCTTCCTCACTCTTCCCTTCTCCCATTCCCTTTGCTCCTTAGTTTATGCCACATTTATATGCATGGTTGCATACTTATATATAATTTAAGAACCACATATGAGAGAAAATGCACTGTATTTGTCTTTCTGAGACTTGCTTAATTCACCTGATATGATAATCTCCAGCACATCCATTCTGCAAATGATATAACTTCATTCATTGGCTTTTTCATACACAAAGAACGAGACACCTATAGAACTCACAAAAGCAATCCCCTTCACAATCCTACAAAGAAATACACCGCAATAAATCTAATCAGGAAAGCGATTAAGGCACAAAAAAAAAACAAAACAAAACCAAAATTAAAAAAAAAAAAACAGGAAAGGCATCCTACCTTCATAAGCTAGAAGAATTGGGTAAAAATGCTCACACTAATCAAACTGATGAAAAGTATCAATGCCATTCCTACAAAATTAACAATGACATTCTTCAGAGAAGTAGCAAAAAACAAACTAACAAACAAAAGCCACCTGGACTATCTATAATACTACAAAAGACCGTATTAAGCCAAAGACATTCTAAACAGAAAGAATGAAGCAGAAAGGCACCACCCAAGCTGAGTACCAAATATACTAATGAGTTATAACACCAAAATGCTGTGGCACTAACAGAGAGTGTGGGGAGCAGCACAGAGAACAGAGTGCAAAGCCAGAGGTAAACTCGTGTGTCAGTCAGTGGCTTTGTAGGCAAGAGGAGGACCACAAAATAAAGATGCAAACCACGTGGTATGACTGTGGAAAAATGTCAGAAATCCTACACAGGAAGAGAGACAACGAGGGAAGGAGGGAGAGAGAGAAGGAGGGAGGGAGAGGGAGGGGAGGGAGGGAGAGGGAGAGGGAGTGGAAAGGGAATGAGAGGGAGGGAGAGGGAAGGAGAGGGAGGGGAGGGTGAGGGAGGGGAGGGAGATGGAGAGGAAGGGAGAGGGAGGGGAGGGAAAAGGAGGGGAGGGAGAGGGAGGGAGAGGGAGGGGAGAGAGAGGGAGGGGAGGGAGGAAAGCAGATACTATACCAACCAGCTCAGCTGGGGGGAGCTGACAGAACTTGCCTCGGGCTGCCTGAAGATGAACACAAGTAGGAAAACCCAAGAGAGACATAAGAAGTCTCAGGAATGATGATCATGGTTATTTATTTCATGATAACTCTAGTCATTTATGTTTGCCAAGCTCATCACCCCATCTTCATAATTAGTCCCCTTTATTTCATTGAGAACACACCTTCCATAAAATTGATTTTAAAAAAAAAATTTAAGAAGTAACTTAAGAGTAAAAACAGAGGCCTTGTTCTACAAGATAGTAACAATCTTTTTTTTAAATGGGATATGAAAACCAGTGATTCATGCCCATGTATATGAAAAGTACTATTGTGTCTATATTGTAATTGGGGTGTTTTGGATCATCACTATAGATACTGCATTACCCAGAGGTACAGTCCTCTGGACTGTCTGCATTCACTGTATTTTCAGGACTTTCCTGCCACACAAATGATCAAAATTACCTCAAGTTCAGTCCAGAGTATGTGATAGGTTCCCTATCATACTACTAATCCCATGGGAATGTTATGTCCTAAAAATTATGTGTTCATAACTCAACTCAAACACACAGTTATAAAATGTGTTTACATCAGTGCTCTGCATGGTACCCAGTGTAATTTAGAAATACAACATTTCTGACAATGAGTTTGTTGTAAATTCCCCTAGGTAGCATACTCACTTGCACAGAGCCACAGTCACAGGCTTCATTTCCCTCCACTTTGCCATTTCCACAGATGGCTACTGGATTATATTGCATTTGTGGCTTATTCTGAAGGCATTTGGCACCCACATTAGATTTAAAATGTTCAAAGTCACTCAAACTGCAATTGCTAAACACCTTCGTACCTGAAGATTGCCTAAAAATGAATTCATATTCTGTCATTAGCAGTATACATCCCAAAGCATAATTCTATATCTTACGTTAGCTTCATGATATTGCTTAATAGGTGATAGCAAATACTCCCAATAAGTGTTCACAATTATTCTTGAGGAGGTAATGTGATTTTATTCATCACAATGCATTTTGTTACTTTTAAAAAATTAAGTACAAATCAATAGTAAGAGCCATGATTTTATAATAGATAAAGAATTTGATTAGAAACTCTCAAAAAAAGAAAAGTCACACCCAATTTTCAACCATACACAGAGGAAGAAGAAAGACAGTTTCATCCATGAGAACACATGAATAGATAGATTTGGCAAAAGGAAAAGATAAATATAGGAGATCCAGAAAGGAATCAATTATGTCCAACCAGAAAACCTCTAAATAATACCAGAAGAGGCTAACAGATCCACGAATAAACCAAACAATCAGGACAGCATGCAAGAAAATCAATAGTAACAACAAACCCCTCTCATTAAGAACCTTAACTGCAAATGACCTTGACTCACCCATTAAAGACAACTATCCATTTTCCCTAAGAAACCAATATAACTAACAAAGACACCTATAACTGAATTAAAGGCAGAAAATAATAGGAGTATTATTTATATATTATAGATATTATACTGTATATCATAGGAAATAAAGAGAGCCATTAATAGGTGACCATGTCATCAAAACTATAATTATTGTAAGTTAATGTCAAACCTTGGACTACCCAATTTCATAAAATAAATACTAAAAGGAATAAAGGACATATTCATCTTGACACAATGATGGGGAGAGATTTCAACATTGTACTGTCATTTCTAGATAGATCTGACAATCAAAAAGCAACCAAAACAAATTACAGCATAAATTATAGCTAAACTAAAGCATGGATTAAACAAATGAAGAATATTCCACCCAACACATGAGCAATATATATTCTTCTCAGTAGAACATAGAAGCTTCCTGAAGGACTGGTCACATTATAGGCCACAATGCAAGCCTTAACAAATTCAAATAAGTTGACATCATTTGCTATATCATGTCAAGCCAGGCAGACGTCAACAGCAAGCCCAACCATAGATTCTACACAAATACTTGGAGACTTTATTTACACACACACACACACACATATATATATATATATATTTTAATGAATGGAGTGACAGTAAGTCAGGGAGGAAATTACAAATGACAATGACAGCATAACCTATGAGAACCCTGGAATGTAACCTCAAAGGATTGCTCATATAAGTGTTTACATTAAAATAATAAGAGATCTCGGGTAACCTAATAATGTGGCTCAAATGTTCTAGAAAAATAAGAAGCCAAATCCAAATGCAGTAGATAGCATAGGTGGTAAAGCTCAGGGAAGAATTTAAACCAATGCAAACTAAAATAATACTAAATTAAAATTAAAAAGTAATGAAACAGACAACTGGTTCTTTGAAAATATTAACAAGATAAGCAAGCTTCTATTGAAACTGACCAACTAAAAAAGAGAAATCAAGTTAATAAAATTAGAAACCAAAAGAGGATATGAAAGCAAACGCTAATAAAATCAGAAGATCATTAGGGAAAAATCTAGAAGAAATAGATAAACTTCTAAATGTGTATGATCTACCAAAATGAAAGTCAAAAGGAGTAAACAATTTATATAAGCCTGGAACCGAAAAAGAAAGTAACTAAGTCTCCCCATAAACAAAATCCCAGGACCAGTTGTACTCCTTGATGAGCTCTCTAGTACCAAGACTCTTCCACAAAACAGGAAGGCAAGAAACATTTCCATACTCACTCTATGAGGCCAACCTTAGCCCCAGACCAAAACTGGATGACAATCCAGCAACAGAGCTATTTCTCTGATTAACAGGGATGCAAATTTTCTCAACAAAATACTTGCAAACTGAATTTAAGAGTGCATTAACAAGACAATAGATCACAATTCGTTGGTTTCAATGCAAGGTTGATTCAACATATACTTATCAATAAATGTAAAGTACCTTATAAGCAGAATTTTGGACAGCAATCACATGATCATTTCAATAGATGCAAAAGTGTCATTTGGTGAAGTTCAATGCATCTTTAAGATAAAAGTCCTGAAGGAAACTAGTAACAGTTGGAACATACCTCACATAAGATATGTAAGACAAACAAACCTATGACCAACGTTATTCTCAATGGGAAAATACTGAGGCTTTTCTTGTCAGATCCAGAACAAGTGTCCCCTCTTTCTGCTTTTATGCATGCAGTATAGCGTTTGAAGTCTCAGCTAGAGCAACAAGAAGAAATAGCAGGGTGTGGTGGCATGCACCTTTAATCACAGCACTCAGGAGGCAGAGGTAGATAGATATCTGTGAGTTTGAGACTAACCTGGTCTACATAGTGAGTTCCAGGACAGCCAGGGCTACACCCTGTCTCAAAAACAAAAAGATAAAGCAGGGGCTGGAGGAATGGCTCTGCAGTTAAGAGGACATGACGACCCAAGTTAGGGTTCCAGAGCCCACATGAGATGGCTTACAACTGTGTGATTCCAGCTCCATGGACAGATCCAACCCCTCTCACCTCCACACATGCCATTTAGATTAAAAAAAAAAAAAAAAAAAAAAAAAACAATTTTTAAAAGAGAAAAATAAAATGCAACAAAACTAGGAAAATGTCAAACTCTCTTTACAGATGATGTAAGTCTATCAGAAAACATTTACATCTAGTAAACACTGTCAATAAAATTACAAGATCCAAAATCAAGATACCAAAAGCAGTAACTCAGGTGTGTGTGTGTGTGTGTGTGTGTGTGTGTGTGCACGCGCACACGCGTGCACGAACACGCGCGTGTTGGGGAAGGTGGTGTATTTTTTGAGAGAAAAAAAAATTTAGAAAAAGATCAGATTGGCAATAGTTTAAAAAAAAAAAAAAAAGAACAAAAATCCCACCTAAGCAATAAACCAGATCAAGGTGAAAGTTCTACCCCGGAAGCTGTACTGTTACACCCATAGGTTACTTCCTCCTTCAGCCCATATCAGAGATGCTGCCTTTTGCAGTAATGGAGAATTACACCACAACTGGACAATGTGCCAAGAGTGGGGGACTTTGGAGCACTTGGTCCTAAATGGGGTGTCTCCATCACACCCCTTGGTTGGTAGTCTGTTTTTTCGGAGTTTTGTTTTGGGGTTTTTTTGTTTTGTTTTGTTGTTGTTTTTCTCATTAGACTAATCTAAATGTAAACAAAAAAGTTCTGCCTTTAAAAAAAATGCCCATGTGTTATGCTCTTCAAAGATATTTAAAGTATCCTTACTGGGGGCTTTCACAAACACATATTTAAGGAACTTTCCCTTACCTATATATTGCACATTGAATTTGTCTGCCTTGGCTACAATTTTTAAAAGTATTCCTCACATTCTACTGCTCTTATATTTAAGTTGCAGGCATATATTTTGTCATGAGCTCTAACTCCTTATAGCTCATTTATACTAGAAGTAAATGCTACAATTAGCACAAAATAAAAATAACCAACAAATAAACCTTTTCAAAAAGCTTACATAGCTCTTGGATTCATGATGCAGATGGCTTCTGAGCAGTGGCATTTCGTTGGGTCATCATATGATATTCCCAGACTGAGTCCTAGCATCTGGGTGACAACAACTGAAAAGGCCTCCAAAGTCATGTCCTTGGGGTACTAAAGCAACAAGGGGGTTCCAAAAGAGAAGACACCATTGAATGATAAAAGGACTTCTCTAAGTTGGAGCCCTTTTGTTTCCGTATCAAACATGACACAATAATGAACATGGTTATGATACAGGCACCCAGGAAAGGTCGAGCTCTATTAATTCTCCGCTTTTCAACTATATTCTCTTTATTCTCTTCCATTGCTTTATTTCTATATTTATTTCTGTCTTAATTACAAAGGGATTGTAAGCTTTTATATCAACTATATACATCCCTCTACCTTCTTAATCTTCAAGACTATCATGGCTTTCCAAAAGTTAAATATAAATAATTTGTATAAAAAGTCTCACTCTTTGAATATGTCTCCTCAGTGATCCACCCCCCCCTACCCCCACCCTATCCCCAAAACATCCTCCCTCAGCTATTCAGTCCCAGGTTCTCGTCCAGGCATTGCCAGCAGACTGTCACAACACTCACTCCTCAATCACTTCAGTAACTACATCTCACATCCTTTTTAAGAACCGAATAGGAACCTACCATTGTGATCCCTGCAGAGTAGCGGGCAGCACACATCTTTCCAGGATACGTGGCTCCCACATAATTTGGGTATTCGTTGTAACTAAATACATAAACACATGTTTGTAGTTAATCCCAATAAACCTAGCTGTGAGAATTCTTGAAAATATAAGGCCCAAATTCAGAAAAATTCTACTCATAAGCAAGTCAAGTTAAACACGTCTCTAACTGCTGGAAATTTGGAAGACCAACTAAACCGGACAAAATGCTGTTGATCTACCAAAACATTCAAGATTTTTCCTTTCAGATGAAAAATGACACAAAAATGTTACTATCGTTCTTGCTTAGGAACACAGTCAGACAGCCAAAGAAATAAAACTTGCAACTTTCAGAGTTTACACATAAGCCTGACCACCTGAGCTTTGTCCTAGGAGTCCACATGATAAAAGGGAGAAGTGACTTCTGAAAGCCACCATCTGACCTCCTCAAGCACCCTGTGGCATACATGTACCTGTACATCTACACACATGCACACACACGCACACACACACACACACACACACACACACACACACACACACATAGAGGCACACATGCAAAGTCAATAAGTGTGGAAAAATTATTAGAACATATTATTAATTGACTAAATAGTAATTATGAGTTCATACAACACAGAAAACAAACTCTAATGTAAGCCATGAACTTGAGTTAATAGTAATGTATCAATATTGCTTCGTAAACTATAAAAGTACCACCTAATGCAAAATATTAACAATAGTAATAGAGCTGAAAGGGTGTGATGAGGGAGTGCCTGGTAACCATCCTCTGTGCCTGCATCTATAAGGAAAAAAACTTGTTTAAAAAGAAAAAGTCTGTGCATTTAAAAAATGAATTCAGGTAATTATATTTATAAATTCAAAAAAAATCTTTCAAAAAGATAGTAACAAAAAAATAATTCGTTGCTTGTGGTGGTTTAAATAAGAATGACCTCTCATAGCCTCCAATATTTAAATGTTTAGTTTCCAGAAGTTGAACTATTTGAAAGGATTATAAGGATTTGAGGGTGGGGCCTTGTTGGAGTTGGTGTAGCCTTACTGGAGGAAGTATATCACTGGCAGTGGGTTTTGGGTTTCAGAAGCCAACCAAGCCCAATAGTGTACTCTCTGTCTCCGTCTGTCTGTCTGTCTCCCTCTCTCTCTGTCTCTCTCTCTCTCTTTCTCTCTCTCCTTCCTGCTGGCTTCAGATCAGGATGTCCAGTACCACACATGTCTACATGCTGCCACATTCCCCATTATGATTGATGATAATGAACTAAAATCTGAAACTGTAAACCCCCTTAAATTCTTTTTCTAAGAATTGCCTTGGTCTTCACAAACAGAACATGACTATAAAATATAGTATAGCATTAAAAATATTAATATTGGCAAAAATAATAAAAGACCTAGAAATAAATACCAAAGTTACCTAGAAGAGCTCCAGGAAAAAACAAACAAAAAAAGCAAAACAAAAACAAACAAACAAACAAAAAACTCTAAAAGTTTTCCTGGAGACTAGAAGAATAATTTGAAAACTAAAGGGTTATAGCCATACTCATTATCTGGAATGCTCCATATAATAAAGATATATACAACACTAAAAACATCAGACCTTCCCAAATGGCCCAAACAAATTGCTGAAGCCCTATAAAAACTCTAAAAGCTGTTTACAGGGTAAATTGTGTGACAAAGTGATGATATATCCATTAACAGATAGTCAGACAGTATCCCTCTTTATACTACCAAAATTAATTATGTTACATATATTTAGAAATAAATACACACATATAAAGACCCCTGTTGTATATTGCCAGCAATTCTATTATGAATGCAACTACAAATGCATAGCTACCATTTATCTTTAACTTTTTTTAAAAAAAAATACAATCCATTCATGCAAGTACTTATAAACAACTTCACACCCGACCCTTGCCAACTGCATAATCAACATATAAACTTCACTCAATGAGTCCTGGATCCTTCTTAGTGTTTAAGGGCAGGTTTTGCCATGACAGTGGGCAGGCTCTCACTCAGCTATTGACCTTAAGAGTCATAAAATGAATGAAGCTTTGTAAATTTCAGTCTGCTATTTTAAAAAGATTAATAAACTTAGAAACAAGTGTTCATCATCTATTTCATTGTCTGGCAATCAGAAAGCATAAGCTCTGAGTAAAGTACCTGAGTAACCAGAAATGAATAACAGCTCCCTGAATTAATATATACCTCAAGTCTTTTGTTTTCTTTGTAGAGTATCAAATAGGCTTACATGAATAAATATGCAACATCATGAGGCCTTAGGGTAAGGTAAGATTGCTTCCATTCTAAAAACTGATGTAGTAGTTCATCTGCTTCACCAACTGTAGGGATCCTATTTTTATCTGACCACAACTCCAACGAAGACAACACAATAGTAACCTTGAGTTGGGAAAACACCTGAAAACAGAAGAAATGAATATACACAATATTAATCTGTCTATTTCCTAAATGCCCCACCCTAGAAAATATTTTGAAATTTTCACAAATCTACATTCTTTTTATGTGAATGACGTACTTAGAAATGTTACATCAAGTTAGTGCAAATGATAATTTCAAAAGTGACAAATTTTAGTATAGAAAGGAAAATACTTACTGAATTTATAAGACTGATAATTTCAATGATCTTATTTGTTACAATCATCCTGTCAGAGCCCAAGTAATCATACTAAAAGACAAATGATTTTACAGTTAAAATACTGTTTTTGTATGAAGTTTTTGATATTTACATCTGCTATCAGAAGTTTGAGGCTGATAAGTAATTCAGTGTTTCAAATAAGATACACAGTTCCCAATGTGAGACTATTACGGAACAGACACATACACATCATACACATATATGTGTACACTCAACACAAGCAGGTGCATATGTAAGTGTTGAAATATGGATTGGCCCTGGATGACATTGGTAGGCTCCATCATTTTAAACGCCTCCCCTGGTCTTTTCCATAAGTGTAGTAAATCAAGTATTGGCCTGTTCTTCAAATCTTCTTACTTCTGACCTCAGCTCTGGACTCCTGGCAAGCTCTACAATGTTAAGAATGGAACTGCTAATATGTTATTTCTGTTCTCTTTGATAGTCCACAAGGGTCATAATGAAATCTGGACCATCAGACTAAAACCTGGAAGATACATATGTCCCTAAAAGCCATATGGCTTGTTTATGGAAGTCAAGGATCTAGAGACACCTTTTCTTGGGAAACAAAGACATGGGACAGCAACAACTGCAAACAACTATGTCTTGCAGAACATGCAGGTATGCTAGCCACTGATGCCAGCAAAACATTATAGGACTGAACACTCTCTGGCTTCAAGGCCATCCTCCTGCTCTCCTTGCCAGAACTGTCTCCTATTGGGTAATCTCAACTATTTGGTTTTCAGTTAGCAAATTGTTACCCTGTGCTGTCTATGCTAGAAAGTGAGAAGATGGGGATATCTAGTTGCCTCTAGCCAGGGGTATCACACACTTACACAAAATATTTATGGGCTAACACCAAAGTGCACCAACATTTTGTAACTCTTTTTTGAAGTGTTTTTTTAGGTTTATTATTTTACATGTATACCATATACATGCCTTCTGTCCTTGGGTCAGACTAGGACATTATATCCCCTGGGGATAGGGTTATAGATAGCTGTGAGTCATCATGTGGGTGCTGGGATTCAAACCTGGGTCCTCGGGAAGAGGAACAAGTTCTCTTAACTGCAGAGTCAACTCTCCAGGTTCCAAACCAAATACATAAAAGAAAAATCAAAGCACATACCAAGGCTTTGTCCACCACAATACTCATCTCTAGATAGAGAGGAAATGACTGTTTTAAAGGTGATTCTGACTGGAAAGGAACAAAAGCACATTGAAGTTTACATTTTCATAATGCATTTACTTGGAGCTCTATTAAAGCTATTAGGACAGCACTCACAGCAAGTACTAGCTAGGAAAGCTAACATGGAGTACTTGAGTATCATAACATGGGATCTAGAAATCAGAACAGTCATTATGAAGTCAGTCAATTAACCTACAGCTTCCATATTGTGAACTCATATACTAATATTGGAGCAAAACTCCATGCACTTGTAACCATCTATTTGATCTGAATAACAGAAGTGTATTAAACTTTTGCTTTAGACATTATATAGATGCTGAAGGATAAGAAACTATGACTATGTTTCATTTCTTCCTGTAGCCATATATTTTGCAATGTGACTGTGATGACTCCCAAGAGGCCAGTCTGCTTCCCCTGGCTCCTCATCAAAGCTGCTGATTCAGCCAGGCCTCCTCTGACTGCCACGTGTGCTCTTAAAGCACCAACTTGTGTACATCCCACCAGCCCCTCATCCAGCAAGAAATACTCTTAATGAAGGAAATGGGGCACTGCTTTAGTGAAAAACAGAAACAGCTACTAACTTTCAGTGAAACCCAGCTAACTGGCATCCATGAGAATGGTGGTCTATGTTCTTTCTGTGTGCCTTGTTGGTAGCAGAGATGGCAACGCCAAATTGTTCTCAAAGAACTGTGGCTATGTGTTTGAGGTGTCCATTGCCTTCCTAAAGAGTTTGCACTCAGAGCTTTTCAATTCTTCTTTCTTGGAACTTTCACAGAGTTGAATAGACTTGTGGGAGGTATTTGTTTAAAAAAAGAAAAGAAAAGAAAGAAGGAAGGAAGGAAGGAAGGAGGGAGGAAGGAAGGAAGGAAGGAAGGAAGAAAGAAAGAAAGAAAGAAAGGAGAAAACTTTCAAGGTAAATACATTAGCTGCTGTCTAGAACAAGGGATAAAAGAAAGGCTGTGGGACAAGATGGTGGTAGAGAGGCTAAAAAAAAGCAGGGTTAGGGTCCATGGGAAAACAAAGGCTTTGAAAAATCTCAGGCATACATCCTGGAAAATATAACCTAGACACAAGCTGTCAAAGACCTCAAAAAGATACTAGGCTTTCCACCCTGGCAAACCTTGGGGCAGCAGTCACAAATAACCTGAATAAACACTATGGACATACCCAAACACAGTTCGTCTGAAGAAACCACAAGAGCTCTTGGCCTCTTTCCCTCCTTTTTGGGCTGACCATATCTCAACCTCTTTGCACCCAGGAACTCACCAGCTGTCCCACATGGCCACTAGGATTGATGTAGGCTACTTGCATCCCTCATCCTAAGCCTCTCATGGTTCAGATCATTCCAAAGCCCTGTGACTGCTTGCTGGGGAGCATCGTATCCTTCCAATCCCACTCCCTCCCTTAGACAACCCCTAGTGTTCTAGCAGATGTCTGACTGGGACTTTCCTGTTACTTCATCTGTTATTGAGACCCAGGCTAACCCATGTTGCCAGGGAAACTTATCCCAAGCTCCTAAACCAAGCCACTGCAGATAGCAGAATGTAGCTGACAAGTGGAAGATCTTGGATAGAGTCTTTATCCCTAAATACCAGACAAGCAGGAAATAACTATCCCAAACTATAAGTTAGACTCCTCCTAAGCACTAAAATACCTCTACTAGAAGAATAAATGAGTTGAATAAAAAAATAAATTTTAATATATATGAATGAAATATGGAAGAGATAGGACATTATGAAAACATTTAACCTTTGAGGGAAAAAAGAAAGTGAACGAATAAACCAACTCGATGCCCAAATACCAATGCATAGATAATAACTATACAAAAATAAGATGTTTCCTTTAAAAATATAAATCTTAGTAATGGCACTGATTGGAAATGACCTGGAAGAAATCTCAAAAGAATTCACAAGAATGGTTAAAACTGTGGTCAAGTTACTCTACAAAGACAAAAAGAGATGGGTGAAATAAGGCAATCAATATAAGACATTGAAATAGATTTCATTTTTTTAACAATAAGCTGATTAGAAATCTCACTGGATCAACATGTAAAATAATAATAATAATAATAATAATAATAATAATAATAATAATAATAATCTCACTGGAAAGCCTCACCAACAGAATGTACCATGTCAAAGACAGAGTCATTTATGAAAGACAATGTAGAACTGAATCACTCTGTAAAGGCCAATGACAATTTTTCACAGAAGGAAAACTAATGCATAGTGAAGACATGGAGAATAAATTCATTAATTCATAGCAGGAAGTTTCTCAAACTTAAACAATTGTCCATCCAGGTATAAGAGGCCTGCAAAACACCAACTCAACAAAACAAGCAAAGAAATTCTCCTTAATATACTATAGTTAAATCTTTTTAACACAAAGTAAAGATAGAATATTGAAAGGTATACTCACTTATAAAAGCAGGCCCATCAGAATAGCAACTGATTATTGATGATTAAAAAAAAAAAAAACCCTTTGAAGCCACAGTGATGCATCCCAAGTTCTAAACAGTCATAGCTGACAAATCACGCTATTATACCCAATAAAACTACCCATTAAGGTGAAGGAGAAATAAAAACTTTCTATGACCCCCCCAAAAAAAAGGAATGAATGACTACTGAACCAGCTCTACAGAAGGTACTAGAAGGGATTTTCAATCTGAAGAGAAGAAGAATAAACACAATTGAGAGGCTGCAACAAACAAGGCCAGGACAGGTAACCAAAAGAGATACCTTTTAAATACTAAGGGTCTTGATTGCCCCCCACCGAATAAAAAGACACAGACTAGAAGATTGATTAGAAAATGGGAACGCTTTTCTTCTTCCAAGAAACACACCTCCTGATCAGTGACTGACATCACCTTGAGGTAAAAAGGATGGAAAAATGGATCTAAGAAATACGTAGGCATTTACTATATCATCTCTACTTTCATAGTTCAGTCACTCCAAAAGACATATGGATAGGAAGATGATGATCAAGGACTATTCATGGAACTAGCAACTCTGTGACTAATTGGTCTTTTAAATTATTCAAAAGTGAAATGCTGAAAATTTAAAAAGAAAAGGAACATGCAGGGATGATTTGATACCAACAAAAGACTGACTCTTTGAAATATAGGAATAAATGATGCTAATCCTGACATGGATTGTCTACAAGGAATGGCTGTTCCCAGGGCTAGACTAGGCCTATGATAAGGTAAGAGGCCTTTGGACTGCGATCTTCTAGGCTCTCTACAGTGCTGATCTCTTTCTAAATTAGTCGATCATTCTATGCCTAATAACAACCCAACAAACAAACAAAAGCCAAAACAAAGCAAAGACCAAAACTAAAATAAAATGAGCAATATAAAGAAATTGATAGGATGTGGCCAGAAGGGAAAGATTATACCTGGCTTCAGGGAAATTGTGACAGTAAGAGACAGGGATATCCATAAAGAATTGCCTTACTACAGCCATACAACAGTCTCACATGCTTTTTTAATGAATTAGAACTAATAAGTGCTTTGAAAATGATAAAAGTATACAAAACTCACCTTTTTATTGATAAAAATGCCATAGTTTGTCGGCATCTCTATGTTTCTGCTATTTTTATTAAAAACTGTTAAATCATTCTCCACATTCCCTAATTTATAAATAATGTGCTGTAATGTAATTGTAGATTCCAGGGGCTCGATTCCATAAGATACATTTTCAAACTGCAGGATTCCTCTGCAACATTAAGGATGAAATTGTTGAGTGCCTTTAATAAAACCTGTATTGTGAAATTCTATTAGCATCCAATGAAGCAATAAATGACACAGAATGTTTTCAACCCAGTATTTCGTTCCAAAAACTGTTTCAGAGATGGCTCCAAGTAAAAAAATAACTTCTCTAACACAAAACTCAGAATTGCTTCTTTTTTTGTGTGTTGCTTTTTGTTGTTGTTTATTCGTAGCAAGACTAATAGAAATCAGCTTTAAAATTTCTAGGAATGCAGTATGACAATAAAATAACTTTCCTGTGTATCAGTCAGTGGCTCCTTAACAGTTGAGTAAACGGAAACATTAATAAATTACTCTCTAGCCTGCAGAACTTTGAAAACCTGACTACCGGGCTTTTTTAATGAAAATGTACAACAGCCATTTTACTAATGAAAATAAAATCTAGCAGTGTTTGTGCAAGGATTCTTATTCTGGTTGGGTACATAGTTGAATAAGAATCAAAAGCCTAATTCTGAAGAGGTGATCAGTTTACAGAACTTTGCTTCCCTGAAATGAGGTAGCCCAATATGTCACTTCTGCATGAGAAACTGGTTTGGAGTTTAAATTTTAGGGTTCCATGCAGGAAGGCCCAGGAAGCATTTGGGAAAACAAAAATGTTCTCTAAAGACAGAGGTGGAAGACTTTGACAGGATGAAAACCCTTCCAAAGCAAAAATGAAACCAAATATTTTTTCAAGAGTTAGAGGAGAAGGTACTATTACTACTTAAAAAATAGTATTGAATTAATAATTACAAAGATATGACTTGCCTCCTCACTGTAAAGATAATTTTCATAAGGAAAAGCAAAATTCATTATCTTCATTTCCTTTACTTTTATCTCCAAACGCCAAGATAAATGGTAGGTATTGTAAAATCTCTATTGGCTGAAAAAATTAATAAACCATCCTAAATCTGTCTCCTGCAACTTAAAACATTCATTTGCCATTTCTGTTCTTAAGAAAAGGAAGAGTAGAGCAAGAATATTGGGAAGTCTAAACCCTCCAGCTGTTAGAAGTATCTCTGGTCTGCAAAGTAAGGGAGAAGAATCCCAGACCACTGGGACCACATCTGGAGATGCACAGCACCAATAAGCATGTAAGAAATGTGCACCACCGTGCACCACCTACACGTGAACAGAAGCGGAATGCATTCACCGCAGCCAAATACTGCAGCCAAATACTGCAGCCAGAGTGGTAGAAAATTACTGACCTCAGACCAGAGCATGTGCTCAATGTGACAACAGAGTTCGGATAACCTTTGATGTATCCTTGATAGTAGCATTGACTCTAGGGATGAAAAACAGGAAACTGGTTACTGAAGAATTGACAAAACTTTCAAATGATTCCCTGCTCTGAAAATAGGCAGAAGAACGTGGAGGCCGCTCATACATATATGATTTATGATGGTATGCATAAAGTGGTACTCAAAAGTCTCCAGAACTTTTTTCCAACATATAGATGTGAGACCTCAACTAAAAGCCTTGAGAATCTTTAGAATTGTAATGTGCTACCTAAGAAAAGGATGTGAGAGCCTAAGACTCTGGAAGCTTGAAGGGCCAGTGTGCCAGGAAAGGAGGGCTCTGACCCCATGCTAACAGAAAGCATGTCACCTGCAAGGACAGAAGCAGTGCCAGGGAAGGGTGCGGTGAGGACAAAAAGATAACCCTGTTCCACGCACATTCACAACAGAAAGCCCAAAAGTGAAGAGTTGGCAAAAAACAGAACACACACAATCACATTAAAAATGTTTTAGAGAATTGTTCTACCCAGTAACAAATCTAGTATTCAAACTCCTCGGGTCTGAACAAGGTTAGGGGAGAGACCTTCTAGAACCCATGTAGCACACAGTAGGACTGATATATGTATACAGTGGGAGCAATGCATACAAAAGGTTTTGGTCCATGCTTCTGTGCACTCATGTTCTTAATCTGCTTATATTACTTTCATTTATATTCACTCTTTCAGGGAGCACAGGCGAAGCAATTGTCTATGGGCAGTACCCATGAAAAGTCCTTAAATGCTCCCGAGACATCAGGGAGCACTTAGTGACAGCACCTTAAGTATATTGCCCACAGATCCTGAGAGTCTTGTGTATTGGGAAAGCACTGAATTATTTTCAATTTTTCTGAAAATTCATAAAATAGCTTAAATCTTACCGGGATGTCTGCAGAACTAGAACTCACAGATCCTTTGTTATACGAATAAACCATAAAATGATCTGCTAAAAAATAACTACGTAAAGAAAAGAGAATTCTGAGTTACTCTTTTAGAAACAACAGAGCAGCCATCAGTCAACTCTGCAACACCCAGTGTTTCTGTAAATAGTTTTATTGGGTCATAACCTCACCCATTAATCTGCATATGTGCGGGGACATCCCAATTACAATAGCAGAGGTAAGGAGCTTGGGCAGAAATGGGAGCCTTAAAATTGAAAGACTTAAAATCTCAAAGACAAAACAAAACAAAAGCTAAGACTTGCTCTCTGGAGCTTTAGAGGAAAAGGCAACCTTTGGCATACTTTCCCTTGTCATATAACATACTTTATGCAAAGTAATAAACATTTACTCAAAATAATTTCTCCAACTTAATGGATTTACTTTTGATGTGGATTTATGTGCCTGCATAGATTTAGGCACCACAGTGTGTATAGGCATCCATAGAAGCCAGACAGTAGCTGGAGTTACAGGTGGCTGTGAGCCATTGGAGAGCTGTGAACCAAGCCCAGGTTCTTTGCACAGACAGTAAGCACTCTTAACCACTGAGCCATCTCTCCAGCCCATTAGGATCCTTTTAATAAAGGGAAGGGGCTGTGAGAAGAGTAGTCATTTTGTTTTTTTACAGAGATATAAACTGGATGGAGGGTTGTGAGAATTTTCTGCTCTTTTTTCTAATATATATATAGTATGATATAGTATATATTACTATTGCACAGCAGTTGTATATATCAATTATATATTACTATTGCATGTTAAAATATGCAATATTGATTTATATGATACATTAGCTTTATATTTATATATTGCATATTAATATATAACTGTGTTATCTTGTATGATGTAATAATTTTATAATTACATATAATTATGTATAATATATAATTATATATTTTGACAATGTGTCATATCATATGTTAGATAACAGGTGATTATATAGCATGTAATATATAATAAAGTATAGTATATAATACATATTATATATAGCATATATATTATATGACATATATGTATGTCTTTGATAATGTGGTAGAAGAAAATGAAGTCCTATTAGCCTTAGCATGTACACTGAAAGTCAGGTCTATGCTCAAACTTCCTGGGTGCCATATTCTGCACACACTATGTTGTGTTGGTTTTACTTCCCCCCTTTGCCCTCCCTCGGGTTTCAGTACCACCCAGTTTGCTGCTTCCAGTCTCCCACAGACTAGCAAACGGTGGGTGCCTGAGTGGCAGGCAGAGGTTAGGGAAAACCACTCTGCCAGGCTTCAACCATTTCACCCTGATGCTGAATGCCATCTCCCCACTGGTGCTGGTGAATTCACCTTCCTCCTGCTTTCTCCCTGTCTCTGTGTGTATGTACACTCCCACATCTCAGTGTTACCCATCTTCCTCACATGCTTCCATGGCATTCAGTTTTACTGTTCTCCCTTCTCACATTCAAAGCTCATTCACACCTCTGTTAAGCATAGTTAGTTCAATTTCAGTGATGGCAATAACAATATTGTTGAAAAACCATATCTAAGGCACTATGGAGATGGTTCCATCAGAGGTTAAGAACACTTCCAGAGCACCCTGATCCAGTTCCCAAACCCCACATGGCAGCTCACAACCATCTGTAACTCCAGTTTCAGGGGACCAGACATTCTTTTCTGGCCTCTACCATAATGAGGTACACCCATGGTACACATACACACATACAGGCGAAATATTCATATATATACATATGTGTGTATGTATGTATATATACATACATAGATGATTTTTTAAATCATCTATTTTTAAAAAACATAATTTTGAGTAGTACACCTTTAGTATACTAAAGTCTACTAATATAATTCCTCTAGTTTTGTTCATTTTTATTTCAAATTACCCTTGCTATTTTAGAGTTGCATGTATCTTAAAAGAAAATTTCCTACAAAAAAATACCCCTTGTATTTTATACTTTCTTTTATATTGTTTTGAGTTCGTTGTCATTGTCTTTGGGTTTATTGTTTTATTTTGTTTGCCATGGTTTTGTTTTGGTGATGTGCTTGCCTTGGTTTGTGAGTTTGTTGTTGTTTTAGCTCTGAACTCACGAAGTAGCTAAGGGTGACTCTGAATTCCTTTTTCTCCTTTACCTGAAGTCCTTGAACCGCCTCTATCTCCACAGCTGGTCTAGAATTTTGATACTATAAACAGGAACTTTTTGTTTCTTTTCAGATAGCCCATTGTTAGTGTGTAGAACTGCTTCTGATTCCTGTGAATTTATTTACTGGTAATTACAGGGGGTTTATTGTTGCTATTTTGTAGATCCTCTATGGAAAGAGAAAGTGACAGAGAGAGATGGGGGCTAGAAAGTGGGTAGAGAGGAAAAAGACAGAGGGGATAGAGATGAGCGAGGGGGATGATAATAAAGATGATAGAGACAGAAATGAGAGAAGGAGGGACAAAGGAAAAAATAGAGGATAATGTCCTTTACCTACAGGAACAATGTGACATCATCTTCTCAGTACTATGCTGAGTAGAAGTGGTGAGGTAGCCATATTCTTGATCTTAGGAGAAATCCTTTCAACTTTGGCTTTGGGTTTATTACATATTGACTTTATTATGTTATTGTAATCCTTTCTATACTTAATTTGTTGAGAGCTTTAAAAACATGAAATGATAGCAAAATCCAATTGCTTTCTCCCAGATTCTACTGTTGAATTAACTACCTGAGCATTTCCTCTGGGCCATCTCCTAAGCAATTCACAGCCAGCCTCACCCCAGGGAACCCATGCCTCTGACCAAGGTCTGTCCACTCCTGCCTTCTGCTCTTATTGGTCCTTCAAGTTCTACCAACCTCAATCTATACAGACTGGCCTTCAAGAGGCACGCCTCTGTTTTCCTTGGTTCCTAAACCTCATTCTCAAAAGATCACTTGAGTTATTGAGGACAGCAATTTAATTATTACAGAAGAGTATCTGTTCATTAGAGACAACTGACAACTCCAGTGAGAGCTCTGCTATGGCTCTTATCCTCCACTGCCACTACAAGTAAACAGTTTCAAAGAAACAAAACAAAATACCAAACTAAAGAGTAAAAGAAATCTCACCTTTTCTGGAGGTGCACAATGTATGGCTTCTTGTTTATTGGAATAATGTAGGATATCTTTTCCTAAAGAGTCCAGAAAAAGGGAGTGAGGGCAGAGTTCAATGAGAAGCAAACAGCAACTCAGTCAACCAACCCCTCCAAGCATGCTTCAAATAATTCATAAAATCACTGCACACTGCCTTGATAGGGGATGTCCTTCTGTTTATATGTTTCTCTTATTGGTTGATTAATATGAGAGCTAAAATTAACAATATGAAGAATAATGAACAACTCAATCATTAAGTTATTAAAACAAAGTAGATTCTTCACAAAGTGAAGATTGACAAACACTTCATCAAATTAAACAAAACAGAGAGAAGATAACAAATAATAAAATTACAAATTGAAGTGGAGATATTACCATAGATACTTCTGAAATCCAAAATGTCAGTAGGAAATATTTGAATATATTTCAATACATTTCTATAAATTAATAAATTTATAGACATACATGACCTACCAACACTGAGCCAAAAGAATTTGTCTAAACAGGATTAGCAGTTAAGAGTATGGGCTGCTCTTCCAGAGGACCCAGGTTCAATTCCCAGCACCTATATGGCAGCTCAAAACTGTAACTTCAGACATTCTCAGCAGATACACATGCAGACAAAACAGCAATGCATGTAAAATGAAAATAAATTATTTAAAATATATATATGTATATGTATATGTATATATATATATTTGTGTGTGTGTGTAATGATGAGTAATGAAATTGAAGATGAAATAAAATCTATCATCAACAGAGACTAAAACCAGACACATACACTTCTGAATTCCACCAGACCCTTCAAAAGGAACAACCAACCCTTTTCAAATTAACCAATACAACAGAGAAAGGAGATTGCTTTTAATCTCATTCAAGAAGCCAACACCATCCTGACACCAAAACCAGGTAAGACCATGACCAAAAAAAAAAAAAAAAAAAAGGCACTACACCAATTTGGTTGATGACTATAGATGCAAAGATCCTCAATACTTGCAAATAGAATACAGCATCACATTTAAAAGGTCATATACCATGAGCAGGTTAGTCTCATTCTAGGAATGTAAAGGTGGTTCAACAGATGCAAATCAATAAATATAGTATACACTAAGTAGATTCAAAAGCAAAAAATAAAAAAATAAATAAAATAAATAAAAAGGTACATGACCAGGGCTGAAGAGATGGCTCAACAGTTACATGCATGTACTGCTCTTCCAGAGGACTTGAGTTCTGTTCCCAGCACCCGTGTCAAGTGGTTCACAGTTCCCTGTAACTCTGTCTCCAGAGAAATACAACACAGCTGGCTTCCACAGGCACCCATACATGTGTGCATATGCCCATAGACAAACACATACTGTTTTAGTGAGGGTCACTATTGCTGTGCTCAATGAAAGGAGGAGGAAAGGGGTTTTTTTTTGTTGTTGTTGTTTTGTTTTGTTTTTTCTTTTCTTTTTTTAAAGATTTATTTATACAGTGTTCTACCTACATATCAGAAGAGGGCACCATATCTCACTATGGATGTTTGTGAGCCACCATGTGGTTGCTGGGAATTGAACTTGGGCCTGTAAAAGAACAGCTAGTGCTCTTAACCTCTGAGCCAACTCTACAGCACAAGGCTTTAATTTGGCTTATACTTCCACATTGTAGTCTGTCATGGAAGGAAGCCAGGACAGGAACTCAAACAAGGCTGGAACCTAGACGCAGGAGCTGATGCAGAGGCCATGGATGGGTGCTACTTCCTGGCTTGCTCCCCACGGCATGCTCAGCCTACTTTCTTATAGAACCAAGAACCACCAGCCCAGGGACCTCCCAGCCCGTCACTAATCAATCAATCACTAATTAAGAAAATGCTCTGCAGGCTGGCCCACAGCTTGATCGTACGGAGGCCTTTTCAGGTGGGTTCCCTCCTCTCAGATGATTCAGACTGTGTCAAGTTAACATAAAATGAGCCAGCAAGCAAATTGGCCCCTTGTCACCTAGACACACAACACATTTTAAGACATAACCTTTCCTTTGTTGTTATTTTGTTTTGGTTTGGTTCATCCCCCAAGATCTCAGATTAATAAATGTCACAAATATAGAAATATTACAAACTTTGAATTTCCACAGTCCTTACCAGTTCAAACACTTTAAAAGTTCAGTCTCTGAAAAACTCTATAAAGTCTCTTCAGATCCAAAATCTCTTTTAAAAATGCAAAGTCTCTCAACTGTGGGCTCCCATAAAACAAAAATATGTTAAACGCTTTCTTACCTCAAGAAGGAGAACCAGGGCAGTCACAATGTGAACAAAGTAAAGCCATGCTCCAGCAGTGCAAATAATTCAGTGTCCGATGCCCAGGGTTAACTCACAGTCTGCTGGGCTCCTACAGGGGGCTTGGGTTATTTTTCTGGCCCCACCCCCTGCAGCACACATAGATGCTTTTCTAGGCTCCAGCTGGTTCCCCTCCACCACTGCTGCTGTCCTGAGTGGTCATCCCATGACACTGGCATCTCCAAAACTGCACGAGTCCCTTACTGCAACTGGGCTGCACTTTCACCAAGAGCCTCTCCTGGACTTTCTTCAGGACTCCAGCCCTGCCACACTCACACACCCCTCTCACACACACACACACACACACACACACACACACACATCCTTCACACACACCCCACTCCCTCTCACACAGGGCCATGCCTCAGCTACTCTCCCTGACCACATTCCATGCCTCTAAAACCAGTATCAGCTGGTTTACTTCAGACCACCAAGTTCTCCTGCCAGGAAGAAATATAGCCTTGCTGCCTCTGGACCACAGCTTCTGTGTGCTAACCATGAGGAAACACTTCCCAGAAGACTTCACCTCAATGATGCTGGTCTCTTAATCCCAGCTGATTTCTTAGCTCCACAGCTGACCAGCCTCTATTGTCCCAGTAAAGCTAAGGTTTTACTTTATTGATCCAGTCTCCTGTTAATCACAGCCACTTCTTCAGCCCTAGCTTACCAGAACCAGGGATTCTCAATTCCCTGACAAAGTCTTTTAGTGACTCTCAAGCTCCCTTCTGGAACCTCACAAACCAGGCCTCCATCACCGTCCTTTCTCAACTCTCTTCCAAGCTCCCACAGAATAGCTCACCAAGGTTTTGAACACTCAAGGATTTTTTTGCCCAATGTTCCAAAGTCCTTCTGCAATCCTCCCCAAAACATGGTCAAGTCTATCACAGCAATACCCTTATGATCCTGGTACCAATTTCTGTCTTAGAGTTAATATTGCTATGATGAAACACCATAACCAAAAGCAAGTTGGTGAGGAAGGAGTTTTTTTGGCTATAGTTCCACATTGTAGTTCATCACTGAAGAAAGCCGGGACAGGAACTCCAGTGGAGCAGAAACCTGGAGGCAGGTGGTATTTACTGGCTTGCTCTCCATGACTTGCTCAGCCTGCTTTCTTACAGAACCAGGACCATCAGCCCAGGAATGACCCCACCCACAATGGGTTGGACCCTTCCCCCATCAGTCACCAAGAAAATGCTCTGTGGGTGCCTACATACAGTATGGTCTTATAGAAGCATTTTCTCAATTGGGGTTCCCTTCTCTCAGATGACTCTAGTCTGTATCAAGTTGATGCAAGATAAAACAGCACACATACATATATACATATTTTGAAAGAAGATAAATCTTGAAAAGCAAATCATAAGACCATTTCAATAGATGCAGAAAAGCCCTTGACAGAACACAGCATCACTGTACAACAAAAGCCCTAAGGAAACTAAGAATAGGAAGATCATACTGCAACATAGTAAGTACTACGCACAACAAATCAACAGCCAGCATTACACTGACTCTGGAAAGAAACAAGTTTCATCTACAGTCAGGAATGAGAGCCACGTCCATCCTCTTTCTTACTCAATATAGCACTTAAAATCTTTTGCAGAGCAATAAGAGAAGGAACTGGTTATAAACAGAAAAGTTAACTATCCAATGTGTACATGACATGATCCTTCACTTAAAGGGCCCCAGACTCCATCAGGACATACCCTAGTCTGGTGAGCAGCTACAGCAGAGCCAATAGTGTTGCATTTGTTTAACTCCGTAAAGCTGTGTTACTTTGCCTGCCTAAAGACACCCAATTGGTCTCATAAAGAACTGAACAGTGATACCTAGGCAGGACAGGGATAGGTAGGGCTGCCATGCAGAAAGAATATGAGGATATAGAAAGAGGATCTAGGGGAGGAAAAAAAGGAGAAGAGGATGCCAAGGGCCAACCCCCCAAGCCACGTGACCAGCCACGGAGTAAAAGGGAACAAGGACATATAGGATACAGAAAGGTAAAAAGCCTAGGGGTAAACTTATAAGAGGAGAAATGGGCTAATTTAAGTTAGAAAAGCTGGCTAGAAACAAGTCAAGCTAAGGCCAGGCATTCATAAGTAAGAATAAGTCTCCATGTTTTTATTTGGGAGCTGGGTGGTAGGCCCCCAAAGAGTTTGAAAACAGAAAACCCAACTATACAACAAGGTAATTCAAATAATGCAATCACTGAGAACAAAACCACACATGCAATTTCCCTCACAAAATCCTAAAAAGTGTCATTAAATAAATGGAAGGAGGGCATGAAAGAACTTCTTGAGTTTCCAAACACTGAAGGAAGGAAATGAAGGCAGCAGAAGGAAAAAAGGCACACCCACCCCACCGTGCTTCTGACCTGACAGAATTCAGTTCTGTAAAAGCGGTCATGTTGCTGAAAATGATCTACAATTAAATAAGCTCCACTAAAACTCCAGAGACAGGCTTCACAGAAGTAGAAAAGCAGACTCAGGGTACTACACCGCCATAGTGACATGGCACAAACTCAAACACACAAACCAGTGGGATAGTGTGGAAAACACAGAAGTAAGCCCATGAACCTACAGCATCTGATTCTCAACACGTGTGACCTGGAACAGGACAGGCTAGGCAGAAAGCATTATCTGGGGATCTGTCCACATGCAGAAGATAAACTGTCTCATCCTTTTCAAAAACCAACACACGAAGAGCTAAGGTCAGACTTGAAGTTCAAACTGGTGT